TGTGTGTGTATGTTTTTTATTCACTCAATTACAATCACTCCCTTTCAAAATTAATTCAAAGAAAAAATACAAACTTCAAATTAACAAAGTATCTCATGTTGAATTTGATTTGAAGTTATCGTAGTCTGGAGTCTGATTTTCCTGAAATGTTAGTACACACAAGAGCAAATGCAAATCTTCTAAAATTGTTAGGAGATAACTACACATATGAACAATAATGTTTGGAATCATCAAAACTACATAAGTTGCAAAAATATAAATCATTCAAATAGCAACTATTCTAACAGGGATAGGATCTTTTATTTTTTTGCTCGAGCTCGAGGCCTTATTTTGCTCTAAGATTTCTTGTGAGGGCTCCTGGAGATTTCCACTTCCATCCCCGACCAGATCCCGGCCATCCTAGCCCGCCGGCGGCGAGAACTCCGGCGAAACCGAAGCCACGAAACTTTCGGGGCTTCTACCGCTCAATCCAAGGAAAACCAGGTCTCGACGTCAACTAGAGAAATATTCCTGTTGTTTCAACGAATCCAACGAGCCCAAGAACGCAAAAATCGGACGGTTAGATCTCTCGAAATCCCTTAGAATAGATCACAATGCTTAGGATTAAATAGCTTTTTGAAAATCTGCTTATTTTCCAAACGGATAGTCCCCCATGATTTCTGTACATGCATAGAACATACATTTAAATTTTTGTGAAGTTTCGTCGTCTGGATCGTGAGAACGAGAAAAAAAACGGAACTAGGGTTTGGGTGTTCGTCCGGCCGAGCTGGGTGCATACTGGACCGTTGATCCGTGGATCAACGATACAGATCGAGAAGCACGGCTGTTCGGTTTGACCGCGCGATCCGCATGGAGGATCAGATTTAAGTCCGACGGGATCTGGACCGTCCATCCGGATCAAAAGCCGATCGGACGGCTCTGCTTCAGGCCGACGTGGATGAGTGGTCCTGGGCTTGATTGATGCATGATTGCCGCAATCATTAATTTTGCTGAAATGTTTTTGATCTGTCTGTGTTTATTTTACAAGCAGAAAATATCACTATTTTAAAACTATTTAATTATTGTCTTCAAACTTTGAAATTGCGTAACTTTCTCATTTTGAGTCGGATTTTGATGCACAACACCTTATTTTGGGTTTATCTGAATTCTGTACAGTTTGAATCCACTTTTGGGTGAAAATTCTGTTTAGATTTTCTGATATATCCAAAACAGTAAAACAGCACTATTCTAAAATATTATTTTATTATGTTTAGACTTCGGAAAATCATATCTTCGTCGTTTTAAGTCGGATTTTTACGTACAACCCCTCGTTCTTTTCATAAAGATGAGTTTTATGTTTTGAAACCACTTCCAGTCACTGATTTTGGTTGTATGAATAGATTTCTGTTTTGATCCTATTATTTGGGTACTTTGATATTTATATATTAATATAATAGCTATTTTCAAGATACAATCTACTTTCAAATCGTTTGAAAGCTTCGCTTGAGTGACAAGTGGATCTTTCCCATACTTATATGTATTATGAATCAACCTATCTTTCAAATATATATTATTTTTTATGAAATCTATATAGAGTTATATTAGTAGGTATTTTAAATTAATTTTAAATTACTTATAGTTAAATTCTAAATTTGGAAAGATCTACTTCGCATGAAATTTTAGACATGGGTTCTATGAATGAAGAGCAATCATGGGGGAGAGGATTAGTGGGTGATTGAGTTCCAATCATTCACTAATTCCTTCACTAGGTGTCTTTCCTTTTATTTTTCGTAGATTGCATGCGTAGGTTGCACTACCACCACTTAGTTTAGGCTCTCCTAGATCTAAGGACATGGCGTGTTTATTTTATTTATGTATTCCCCTGCATTTATTATCCTGAGGGTTAGTATAAACATCACTTTAAACTCCTACAACGTAGTGACACCCTAAGGACAAAAATTAAGGACATGTCTAGCGAACTTAGAAGTTTTCTAGGAGCTAGGATAGATCCCGGATTGACATGAAAACTTCAAAACTTAAACTTAGTGACATAATAAACCTATCAGAATTTTCTAGGATTTTTTAAGAATCTTTAGACCCCTTAGTTAACTAACTCTAATTAACTGGTTAAATAAGGCCCCGAGACCTTCCGAAAATTATAATAAATACATTTTAGGTCAAAAAATTACCCATAATACCTTGAACTGACCAGAATCTGATTCTTGATCTTAGATAAATAGGGCTCCATAGTGTGACTTCAGGTTGACCCCTAATTTAACCATATGTGGAATTTACCTTTTTGCCCCTAATAAATTATTAAAAACTATTAAAAATTCTAAATTTTCCCCAAACACTTGGGAATACCCTCTTAGGTCATCCCTGACCTTTGGGGATGATTCCAATTAGTTTGGAGTTGATTTGGATCAAAACAATAAAATCAGTCATTTATTAGGAAATTTAAAAATTCCCTTAAATACCCCGATCTGTAGAAATCCATAACTAATTGTAGAAAATTCCAAATTAAGAAAACTCACTTGCATTGGACTCCTATTAGGGTCTAGTATTTATTAAAAACCTTAGGTTTCCAGAAATTGACCTAGATTAGAAAGTCAACTTTTTGGTCAACCCTAGTTCATTTAGGGCCCGAAATTTAGAAAATTCATAACTTTGAATAGGAAACTTCGATTTCAGCCTACTACCTGTCTAACTACTCGTATTAAGGTCTAGTATTTTCCTAAGGAGATCCAGACTTAGCCTTTTTCCCATAATGACTTTTTGGAGCCTTAGTCTAGTTCCTAGGATGACCTAGAACTTTCTAAAATTGTCTAATATCACTTGAACTTTAAATATCAGTACCCTTAGTTCTTAAAATTGATCAACAAACTAAAATAATTAAAATGCACCCTAATTCACTAATATTTGAATTTCAATAAAAAATTTCTTTTTTGGCCTACAACAGACCTGAACTTTAGACAATTCTAACTAACTACCCTGCTTAAGACCTATCCAAACTACACAAGCCTTACACACACATAGAATGGTTTGCTAGGACACCACTTCTAGATCTAGGTTAGGCCGTTGGGTTTTACTTTTCTGTTGTGTGCCGGAGCTTTCCGTGGTTTTCACTGCATGCTGTTTGAAATTGCTGGTGTGTTTGCTTACTTTTTCTGCACTCTGGATGTGACGCTAGATCTACCCCTAGGTTAGGAACGTCATATATATATTGTTCTTCCGTGCAGGTGGCCATACTCAAGCTAATAAAAGGGGGGAACATTATAATTATTTCTAATAATGTTTTATGCAGATGCTTGCTCAGCTCCCCCTAAATAAAATGAGGGCTAAATTAATTATAACTGCACAGGTTGAGCGCTTAGCCCTCAAAATTAGGAGCATGACTTGGCACAGGGTCAATGGTGTTAGCACTTTTATTTTCATATAAACTGCTTGGGATTTTTATTAGGATAACCTTGCTGGGCTTTAGAATTTACTACTTCCCATTTGATGTAAAATTTATTTGTAATAATTGTTAAGAGTTGTGAAAATAACTCTGAGTTGGGATATTTTTTTATCCAGTTTGGATTCTAAAAGAAGAAGGCATCCCTAGGGAAGAGTCTTCTTTCATTTGGAAGATCGAGCTGGATGGCTTTAGATATCCAAAGAGAAAAGGCAATACACCCATGCTGGGGAGAATTATCTCTTCGTTTGGATATT